AAACCATGTCTGCATTTGTGATCGGAGAAATGACAAACAAGCACTACTCTACACTGCCCAAAACTCGCGTTTGAATCATCAGTGGCAAATTCTTTAAATATAAACTTATAGTACTTACAGTTGGTGAGTCAGAACAGCCGGCATTGTAGTCTACTCTCCCAGGATCAGGAAACAGTCCTCCATAAAATGCACTGGACACATCTGAATATTTGGGTTGAACTGTTCTGGAACAGTGTTGTAAATACAACTTAACCACTGATTTCTAGTCGTGTCCTCTTTTGGAAGACCAAACAAAGTAGTTTCGCTTTCACAAGGAAACACACAGCGGGCTTGAGTGAGCGGCGGCCGGTGGCCTTGAGAACAGCACGGCCGGCGGATTCGACAAAGGAGCTTTAACAACGAAGCACACAGCGCCTTCACAACATGGTGGCGGCGGCAACAACAATACTACAGCGAGAATAAAAGTTACGCCCTCTTTCTTTGCGTGAACATTTGGGCTGTGTTATGCAAATCTTCCCACACAGTGACGTAGACATGTGGGGGCGTTATGCAAATCTTCCCACATCGTGACGTAGACATGTGGGGGCGTGTTAGAACGAGCCATTTTAGGTAGGCGTGGTTGACTCTTAAACTTTATAAAGAATATCTCTTTGGATTTGAGACTTTAGTCTTTGCAACTTTACAGACCTTCTTTATGCACCAAGAGCTTGTAACACTTCAAAGAGAAAGGAAAAATTGAAATCGCATCATATGATCCCTTTAAATTTTTGCACTGCATGTCATGTGTGGGGCTCCGTGTAAGTTTCTTAAGTTTTTCTTCTAATATTTATATTTTATTTCAGCTTTATTTCCATTAACAAAATATTTAGTTTCAGTTAACAGAAACAACACTGACAAAGACTGCAATTTCTCTCTACCTAATATAACCCTCTTTCCTATTTACAGACCATCAATGTCTCAGCCAATCAAACCAATATCAAATGAACAAAATGCAGTTATAAAATGACAGATTAAACATGTCTAAATTAACTTAATTTGAAATTAAATAATTCAAATAATAGCCATAATATTACTGATAATGTTATCAGATAATCAATATCAAAAGAAACATTTTTGCACTACATAATTTTATGTTTATACAAATCAGTGGTGCTGTGTGGCTTCCTGTACATCCCTGCAGTGAACGAACCCTCGAGTCAGTCGCCAGTCTTTATTCCCGTCTCTGTGGATTACATAATCTCACATAACTGAAAATAGAGCAAAGGCTCTAAAGCTCCAGCACAACTCTCCATCACAGCACAAGCTTTCTCTCAATATGACTGAAAAATGATTTAATATGTCAACGATATAAATAATTCATGCAATTTGTATTCATAATAGACCAGAAGAAACCCACACATCCAGAGGGGCTTAAAAATCCTTCAGATTTCTTACAGTGAGATGAATACTTTAGACTCTCTGCCTCACTCTGGAAGAGAAATTCAGTAAGATTGTGTCTGCTAACAGGGTCATGTATTGCCATACATTTTCTGCATTCTAATTCACTGAAGGAATTATGCAAATTTGGTAATGGCGCAAACTGCGCTGCAAAGTGGTGCTAAAGGGGTCCAGAAAGATTTGAGAGAAACTGGGGGATTTTAATGCAAAGTTCATATGTGTACACAATATATTAAAGAAATATTAGAAGAAATATAATTAAACATAAAGAGGAGATGTGTTCTGAATAATGTCTCTCCTTCAATCACAAGAGCAGTACTGCTGCTGGATAAAGATGTTGTTGTTCTGTCAGTGGATGTAAATAAACTGCACCTACAAAAACTCCTTCCTAAAGACCCCAGCATTAGAAATTAATTCAATAAATAAATGACATGAAATTAATTAATTAAGGGGGTTAATAAAGGCCATTCCAAATTTACAACTTTATAAACCGTAATCTCTAGCTTCCGATAACGGTCATACGCGCGTTCCAGCATACAAACATACGCATATTCATACTCATGCTCATTCTTTTCTTTTTAGTCAGATTGGTGTCGTCAGTCTTGAATCTGTTTCTAAACATACAGACAGGACCAGCTCAAGCCCGTGGATTACAGCGAGGGTCTGTTTAGCCCTCACGACGGCTTAGTAAGTATGTGTTTGCCCCCAGCCTGTTTCATTAGCAGGAAGATGGAGGGATTAACTCCAAATTTCTCATTCAATCCTGCCCAGGAGACAGATGGGTCAAATCTCTG